AGTGGAGCGAATTCGGCGGTTGGACGTGGTGTTTTAGTGATTATATGCCTAATATTCACATTCGGTCATAGTGACTTGGTGATTCCATGCTTATGGAGAAACATTCGAGGTTTTGAATCTTCTTTTTCGCAGCCCACAGATTTTCCAAACACCAAGCAATAAAAAACATTGATAGCAAGGCTCATTTGTGAGTATTGTCAGCATTCTAACCAAATTATTACGTGTGTAGGGGTTGTGGAGGTTATTAAGTTTTTGGTTGAGATCATAAACAGATTGATGTTAGGCCACCGTTGAAGACCTGGAAGCACTGAACGGCCGTTTCGTTCTATTGTGGAACTCTCCAGCAATGTGCATCCACGATCCTGCTCGCGGGATTCGAACATTACTCGGTTCATAAACTCAATCAAAAACCTAATAATCTCCACGATCCCTACACTGATAATTAACACATGTTGGTTTAACATCAACCGGTTCATGATCTAAATAAATTATCACGTCTTACCACTGGGCAACTCCCAAACACGATTCGTAATGAGAATCGATATTGATGCTTACTGGTAGTAGCTCAATGCGAACCGACTCACCTCACGGCCAAACTATTGTTATGCTGCATATACTTCTATATATGTTTTCTAGGTATACTGCTCAATAATAGAAACTCCATGTGTTTTGAAAGCAGACATATGGATGATAATGATCATCTGTTGCATTCCGACTATCTGTTCAGTTAATTTTTATTTATGAAGCCTTCGTTAAAGGCATAAATTATCAATTTTGACAATTGTGTTGTATTCGTTTTACTGTGACATCATTTCTTCCAGACAACATCTTCACTCATTTGAATGTCTTTAGTAGTTGACAACAGTCAGCTTAATACGCGATTCCCTATTAAAAATAGATCAGACCACGAACGATTAAAGTGTTTGTTTCTCGCATCTTCTGTTACAAATCCAAATGACAGAATGTCCATGAATTATCGCAACTTACCTTTGAACAAAAGAGATTGATCACTTTCAGGCAGTCAATTTTAAGTCCATACTGTTTATTGTTCTGTCATTTGAGTAAGTAAATACCTTATAAATTCCAGTTAGTTTTGTTGAATGCATTTGTAGACTCATTTCTAAAATACTAAGTAGGCCAAGAAGTGTAATCTCCGAATACTGAGCAATCAAAAACTTCATCAGTTGGCTAACACGGAAAACCGTAAGGGCGGAATATACTTTGGGCTTTCTAGTATATCGGGCTACAAACGATTGTGCTACTCGACAGGACTTTTATTTGTATTAGACAATCTATATGTACGATACAACACTTGATCAAAATCGTTGCATTGTTGGCTTTTAAAAGACGTAGTCCTAAATTAGTGTTTTTATACCAACAGTGCTGATTCAATGCAACGAACTTGTTACAAGAAGTTATTGCAATGGTGAGTAAGCAACGGAGAACATTTTCTAGCGCGGTCCAACTAATTTCATCGAAATGGTTCTGGTAGTGGTCGGAAGCATCTGCCTTAAGCAGACTGATAGTTTATTTAGTAATTTGATTTGAATGAGTGCCGGAAAATAGGTGTTGCAGAAACAATAATCTAAGCAATAAGTGTAAAGATGGCCTTCATTTGTGTCTCATCTTTGAAATTGAAGTAATTAGGAAGTAGTATCACTACCAGTTACAGTGCCTACCGATAATTAAAACCCCTTTGTCAATATACAATAGATTCCTTTCTCATATTGCTACAATTATTATAAGGTTGGTAATATGATGGAAAGAAAAGTCAATTTTCGATTGAATTACTCATTATGAGTTTTATTCATCATTACATCCGTTTTGATTCAACGTGATGATCATTCAGTGTAGTATTTGATTTGTCTTCCCAGTATGATATTTTCTTCTGTATAATATACAATATTCTTGTATTCAGTTGGCATGAACTATACTCAGTAAGTGATTTGTCACATTTGAGTATGTCATTTAATTCTAATTATTAATCAGAATGGGTGTACAATCAATACATAAACCAGTGTATTTTAGACTAGGATCGATCATCATTATCATCATCATCATCGTCATAGTGTTTTGGGGCTAACAAATCTTCACTTATACCAGTCTTGTGTTCTTACTTTCGCGTCGTGAGAATTGCGGAGGTCCCTCGTTCCGATTATAAGTGATCAACGTTTTTTCCGGCACAGCAACCAGCGACGACCAAATATAATAGTTGGAACCAAATATTTTAATTACACTTACTGATTGTTGATTGTGAACAAAAATAGTCACTGATTGGAGTACAATACAAGACGAAGTCATGATTTCTGGTTATTTTGAAAGTGGAAGTAACAAAAATAAGCCAAGCTACACAAATATGAAATGAATGGCGTTTTATATAAACCAGATAGGGTGAGGAAATCATACAACGGAATTAAAAGACTGAGTAACAAACAAATATTGTCAGATTCACCATAGGCAAAACAAAGATCTCCATATTATATGATACTGCTTAACTATATTGCTAAATGATAGTATCGAATGGGTGACAAACGTAACAGTAATGTCTCGTTACGAATTAGTCAGTTCTTAGCAGTAACGACAGGTGGTTAATAAAGATGAATCCTTCAGGACTGCTTTCACAATCCGTTGCCAACTGCTTTTCACGTGAAAGTGTGACCTAACTTACTGTCTCCTTGAATGTCGTTTTAGCCTTACAATAAGTGGATCCGCGCTCTTTAGAGCCTGTAGAGTTTGTGAAGGTCGGTATTCTGTATAATCCCTTAACTTCGTTATCAGTTCGCCTTGATTAACCGTCACTAGATGGCGCTACAAAATGGTGTTAATCAGCAGGCAAATACGAAGTGTTGATTACGTTTATTATGGGACCACACACATATATCCAATTTACAGGTACGTTAAGCAAGCATGAGAGAGTAGTATCAAGAAGCTAGCGGGCAAGCGAGCGAGTCAGTGAATACGAGTACGAGTAAGCGAGTACAATCAACAGTAATATATATATATATAGTGGAATGAATGTAGTTACTAGTAAGGCTAGCAGAGTGAATATATGCGTAGGCAGTAAGCAATACTCAGGCATACATATTCATACAAGTGCAACAATAATAAAGGTACAATGATATAGATAAGTTGTTGTTGTACAGATGACTCAGTTCGTTAATAAGTTAGAAAAAGTGTGAATAAACTTGATTGCACGTTAGTGGCTATATCTGAGAAGTTTTGTAACCCTTTTGGCTTTTTATGGTCGGGTGTTAGTTAGTGTGCGTGATAATAAGCATGATCTAAACGGAGACGTAAGTAAGCTTGGTGAATCTACTGCTTTTACAATTGGTGAGCAAGGAATTGCACTGGCGAACCTCTTGTTGTTGAGAGAGAAACATATTGTGATTTGACGTAGCTCTACTATGCGACAGATATTCTAAAAGGCGAGGACAAGGAAGCCGTTTAACGAAGTTCATCAAGCCGTGACCCAAAAAATAATCTCCCCGCTACAACACACATTTAACGAACTCGGCTGGATAGGAATATATATATATATATATATATATATATATATATATATATATATATATATATAGACCGATGTGCATCCCAATGCACTCGAAAGCAATTGTCGGAAACTGTCAAATTCTAGACTATTCAGGTAGTTTCTCCAGGTCATTCTGAAGCTCTTCCTTTGTCATCGCTCTCTACATCTTGCCACTGTTGGCATAAACAAAGCCAATGATAGAATAGGAAATTTATGTGCAAATGGGAGGAATAACACAGTTCCTCAGACAGATAACCTGGAGTTGACGCTAAACTGGTAAGTCCCTAACCCACACAAGCAATGAACCTCCAATCTTGATACCACTTAACTCAGACAACGGAATCGCGTGGGGCTTTATCAAAAGCTTCACTGAAGTAAATTATAATTGCATTTATAGGCAGCCTTTAGTCCCTCTGAGCACAACTTTCATGGACTACTAATACGTTTTTGAGACATAAATTACCCAACTTGAAAAGGTGCCGCCTTTTGGAAAAGATTGAGTTTTTGTTTAGATACTTAAACAGCTTCCAAATAATCTTCCATCAAGTTATAACAACCACTCTAGTTAGGCATATGATTTGATAGTTTTCAGGTTTATCTTGCACTTGTTTTGAAAGCAGAAATCACTATGATGTTCCAACAGTATTTTGTAAACACTACTTGGGCCACAAATATAATAAAGGATTTGTTTAAAACAATGAGGATAAAATATGCTCTTTCGTTCATCGGGTCTTGTCGAGTTGAAAACGGTTTTCTTCGTACAATTTCCCAGACTTGCGTAAGGTTGAGACAAAAATATTTCGGGTCTCCCGATATTGAGATTATGTCACGTTAGTACCTAGTAGCCTAGATCTCTGCCATTATTTTTAGACTGCAGTACACTAGTTCAATGAGCTGCTCTTGTCCCTTGCATTTCAAGCGCTATGATATCGTTAACATTAGAGTGGATATTATTTCTAGTGAATAAATCTTTTACTTTGCGCTTTTCAATCTCGTCGGTTCTTACTAGCGTATAGTTTCGAAATCAGGTTCTCTATTGTCTACAGAATGCGTCAGCATATTCCTTTGGCAGCTGTTACATTTAGCCTAGTAGAAATCGCCAACACACCTAGCTCAGATAATTTATTGACAAGCTCTAGACATTTTTATAACAGATTGAAGGACTATATTAGTGGTCTTGCTATGTATTCGAAACTTCAAAGTTATCTTTCTCTTTTAAAGTTTCATTACCAGAGAAAATTATCATTCAGAGGTCCATTCACAGTCAATTAATTTTAGTTTTAGTACTATTCAGCTTCTCAATTTCATATGGTCACCAAGAGATAGTCCTTTGAGGGTAAAAACCTTGATGCATATAGTTAAAAGTCATTTTGTGATATTGATTCCCTTACATTAGGAGATTAAAATACTGTCTTCAACAACCTGGTTTACAACAGCTGGTTTAATAATTTACGTTACCAAGTTATATGAACGACAATTATATCCTGCCGTAACCATTGACCTTCTGCTACAAGCGTAACATAGATATCATGAAAGTTTTTAATCCAATTGTTTGAGGCATGATCCATAGGCGCACTAATTTATTTTGACGCTACAGCAATTAATGATGATTGTTCTGTTGAGGCTGGTAAGCTCCATTATTTTAAATTACTCATCATGAACATGCTAGAAAGCCTCAAACATTCAAATTTATAAGTATTCGAAATATTCCACTTCAATAGGACTCTGCAAAAACAATCACTTTTTATACAGTTTTTCGACGAGGTGAGTGGTTTGTATCATTTGGATACTGTCCTTATATTTCCTATTCGTAGACATGATGTATAGTATTCCTCGTGTTATGAAAGCAACTGGTTTAACACCCGTTAATAGTCTAATTGACAAACACGTCTATTTATTAGGCTTTAATTGCTTCGAGCTGAAATTTAAAGTCTCGTCACCTATCAACCTTCAAGGGTTTTCAAAACACCTTGATATTCCTCATAGATCAATGTGCCAGCATTACGCCATCAACACGGACAAATGTTTTGATGTCGAATACACGTGTTTCTTATATAGGTGATAGCTACTGTAGTTGCGTTTACTCTTTAGGATACCTTACAAAGTCACTAAATTTTCCAGCAAGGAGAAATAAGGAGTTTTTAATTCCGATTCCATCATAATCTATTGTATGTGGATAGTGTTAAAGTGGCATAGATCTTGGGGAAATTCATCCTTATTGCCATATCCCTGTATATTTTACTGTGATTATACCATCAGACTGCGATTACAAAACAAATCAACTGCATGTTCATGATGCTTTCTTCCACTCCTATTTCTCAGTTGACTTTTGTGAAGACTGGCTACACCAGAAGCACTATATGTCATACGGGTCACTTGAATAATCAAGATAAACTATCATATCAAGTTAATAAATGACATCTAAGTGTCAACTTTGTAACATGATTATCGATAACCACCCACTGCCCACTACTCAGTTTTCATATTAAGACAGCGTCCTTACTTTTGTACGGTACCTAATTTTATATTTCCAGTCATCATTTCTCGTCGTCTATTTTTGAAAGTAATACTTTATCATATTTTTCTGTCTCACACATAAATCGCAGAACTACCAGTTCATATTCTGAGAATGCTATTACTCCAAGCAAACCCCGAAGAATTTTCCGGAAGTTCCTGTTTTTGAGTCTGATATCAATCAGTTCATTTATTGGCTTAGTTTACGTGTCTGAAACCATTCGAAATGAATTGACTTCATACTATCCACCTTCTAAGGACATACTAAATCTGGTCGAAAATTCGATTGGAGGTTGGTATTCTGGCTCAAATGTTGAACAACCGGTTGTTCCTGTTAGTGATTTTCCACTTCCACTCAAGTAAGTATATCGTCTTTCGTATTTTAAGGGCGTAGTATTTTGTTCTACAGGGTTTAGGTTCTTTACGCTTGTAAATTTGCTTATTTGACTCGTCATTGAGATCTTTTCAGGGGATTATTGAGATAGATTTATTTCCTTTAGGTTTGGAAGTGACTACAACTAGTAAGATTTGAAATACTTTTTCCATAATTAAGAAGAATGAAAGTATTCAGCTGAATACATTTTAAAACCTTATGATCCATTGTGTATGTTCGGAAACGTTTACCGTCTTGAGGACTACATACTCGTTATTTATTTATTTATTTATTTGAACACATAAATATTGGTACAGGGGGGCACCAAATATATATGCGCCACACAAAACAGTGATAATTAGAAGAGAAGGAGAAAAGAGAAGAAAAAAAAAAAAAGTAATGAACGTGGGGAATTATAAAAAAAAAGAAGAGAGAGAGAGAGAACAATGGTGGGGGAAACGGAAAGGTACAATCAGAACAGATCTTTCAGTTAAGGAAGAATACGACCACCTTTTTATGAAGAAAGTAAAAGAAGGTTACAGCAGGATCGCCACTGGCTTCTATTCTGAGCCATATCTGATAACGTCTCTAGCCACTGCGTTACACCATCTCTCGGACCCCAACCAGGGAGTCGTGAAGGACCAACATAAGCTAGCCCTTTGCAGCTTTCTTTCATACCACGACACCATGTCATATACTGACCACCTCTCCGCTTTTTCCAACCAGTCCCAGAGTCGGCAAATAATGCACGACGAGGAATTCTCTGGGACGACATTCGTAGAACATGTCCAAGCCACCGAAGTCGGTGTTTCAAGATGGTGACACCAATTTCATTATCGTCTCTGTGACCGAACACTCGATGCCGAACCTCTGCATTACTGACATGGTGTTGCCACTGGATGCCAGCAATCCTTCGGAGGCAACGATGATCGAACACAGAGAGTCGTTAACTAATCTTCATTTCTCTATATATTCAGGCAGTATCTTAATGATGCGTTTTCTGATATTCTAAAATTTACTCCTGTCTTTTGTCTCATCTTTTATTTTAAACGCTATTATAAACTACATAATCTCGTAAAATATCTTTAGGTGATGTTTGTTAAACATGATTTTGTCTGTACATCACTAATCTAGTTGTTCTTCCGTGCATTTTAACTAATGGTATTCAGCGACAAACTTCATGTTACTATACTAAGCTTCCAGTCATTTTGTATGCATATATCATGCTACTCAGATGCCCAAGTCAAGTTAGGTTAGGCAGAGTGTGAACGTGGAATCCTGTGATTGAAATTATTTATTTATTTATTTACTGAAACACATGAACATTGGTACAAGGAGGCATCAAACAGATATGCGCCACACTTAATCATTTGATTTATGTGAGGGCTGGAATACTGCTCGGGTGCCCAAACCGAAGTAGGTGGTTTCTTTTGGGGGGCCACATCCCGAGCCATTGCCCTAAAGGTCTAACCCACAAGGCGTTGGAGCAACGTAAGGAGATGCTGTCCCATAGTAGTCGGTGACCAACAATAGGTTCATACACCATTTGTTTTCTTAAGATCCCGAAACCCATATGCACCAACAGTTTGGAATCAGGGTGGATCCTCCGTATCCACCAACCCGATTAAAGCGCCGGACATTCGCCTTTCGTCCTTCTGATTTTGTAAACAACACCCCGCCGCGAGAAGGCAATAAGCAGGGCTTCCGTGGCAGTGGTTGTATGTACATGGCCATGTGAGGGCATTTCGAGAGGGTAAGCTAACTCTTCCTACTCTCGGCTGTACCAGGGTATTTGGGGCATTTGGTTGAAAGTATTAACTTCACTACTTATTTACCGTATACTGTACTTGTACTGATGTTGACAATTCACTTTATTCTCAGTGATTAGTCTCTTATTTTTTCTACTGGCGAAGATGTGATAGCAGTGTTCATAAATCGTAGTATTATAAGTGGTCATTTGTTCGAAGTATTTCTATAAACAATACAAATTCCATATAATAATGTTCATGACTTCATTGTTCACTGTTCTGAAAATTTCGGTTCTTATGGATTAGCTATGACGCATCGCACTATGTCCCTAAACAACACGAATTCAAATCTTCAAGGTATCATTAATTAAATGATGAAGGTATGAGCTTTAGTCACATGCCTCAATGAATATAAGACCTGAGTCTACGGCTTTCAACCAGCTATGCCTAAAAGCAGCTTGCATCAACTATAAAAAATAAATGTGGTACTAGGTAATCATCGTAATACACTTTTATTAAAATTTGTTGTTACTCGAATAGTAAGTTGTACATATACAGCTTATTCCAGCTGTTTATTACGTACTTTATTGGTCTTTATTACTATTTACTTTTTTTTAAGACGAAATTCTGAGTCAATCAGTCAGGTGAATTCTGTGGCCAGTCCAGAACCTGTTATTGTAAGTTACTGTAACAAATATTACGAGACTTATGATATTCATCACTTCGTTCTACCACCTATATCGTAGTTTTGATAGAAAAAAAGTTAATGTTAATATAAAAATGCTGTACTTTAACATTTTCCGGCTCATTAAATTGTGTAAAAAGTATAAAATTGTCTTTGTATATGCAGTGTTTGGCTATTGTTATACAAGTTAATAGTAATATTTCTAGTTTCTACTAATCATAATTTCATGGAGTTAGCTTGTGTATTCACTGAACAAGCGTTGATCTGGATTTAAATTTTTTCCCACTGATTATTTTTTGTAACAGGTGTAAAATATCCATGGTTTTCACGGATCTACGTATAATTTCAGCATAATTCGTTAGAATTATTTGACCAGTTCATTTACCTTTTCAATTTCTAAGAGATAAAATTTAAGCACTGTTTTTGGTGGAAAATGAAGAAAAAATTAAACTCTAACGTCATGATCTTACTTTACTAGTTCAATATTTCAATCTGAAATCTTGACTTTAGTGATACGTTTAGTCCAAAGTGTACAGGCGAGTATAGGCTTTCAGCATACGCTGCGCAAAGTGGCTGCAATAAGTTGTTTTACCTTAAAACCGATTACAATGTCATTGAAGTCACTCACTCTTTATCTCTTGTTTAATCTTGAGCATAGTTTCATTTTAGGGTTTTCACCATTCAATCTCATTTTTTGTTTTTAAACCATATGCTTATATTCATTCGCCCACTTCCATTGGTCTGATTATTCCAACTCATTTGCCTTTAATATTTCTAATCTATTCTTGCTTTGAGCGTATTCATTTATGAACGAGAATCAATACACATTTGTACCAGGTCCCAATAATTTAGTGTAATGCAACTCATTCATTAATTATGTTTGTCTGGTCGTTATTGAACTAGTTTTTGTGTGTGCTAATTATACTGTCCAGTTGCATAGAACTAAAGTAGATAAGTCGGGTTTCAAATGCATTTGTTGATCATTTTGTAATTATTTGAACTTTTAGGAATACTACAATAAATTCTTTAGTCATTCTATGCACTATTTTTCTGTTATTATTGTTATTTCCTAACTGATTTGCGTGTTGTCATCGAGTGTTTTTTTCATAAAATATCGGTGTTTGTTAATTTCAGATTGAGGAAAAAAAGCATTCACTACCTACTGTGGAAGAAGTTAGAGATATGACAGAGAAACGTGATCATGTGACGGTGAGGAACGTAGACTTCTGTAAGTTTCCCAGATGCTTAGTTTCTTTTTCTGCTTTCAAGTATTATTGTTAGTTATGTATTTTATTGCTGCAACTGTGCTGTTTGTACTAGACTGACCAGATTGATTATTCTCAATAGAGTTGTCTACCATAGTCTTTTGTTAATTCTGGCTAAGTTTAGGTTAATTATATATCCATCGTATTTGCTTTTTAAGATTATCCCCAAAATTAAGAGAATACCTTATTTTTTAACATTTTTTCTCTCACTTCATGCAAAGTTTTCAGGGGGACTAGTTTCCTAAATGATCATATTAGTTAAGTTAAGAATAAGTTTTTTACGTAGGAGGCTCTTAAAGCACAGAATTTTGTAATGGTTTAATAAAACTAGTTTCAAGAAATATTATGCCCGATCTCTTTCATTACTCTCTCTAATCTCTCCTATTACTGTTACTACCTCTACTATTCTATTCAGGGATTTGGCCTGACAACTTCGCCTCTATGCTAATGGGGTATGGTAAATTGAACCGATGTACATACGTACAGGTTCTGTGTTGTGACTGACCGACTGACTGATTATGAGTATTTGCAACAAGTCAGTCAGTCAGTCAGCTGCAACGTAGGACCAGGCACGTATATGCATCGGTCCAAGTTGCCATACCGCATTAGCACAACAAGATGAACACCGGATTCATAGAAGTAGTTAATTCAGTGGTGGTAATATATAGAAGAAAGAGTGTGTATAAGGAGATAGTACAGGAAGATAGAATTAGTTCGTAGAAAGAAAGATTTGAAGTGATTTTAATCTCTTAGTTTAAAGGAAGACAGAGAGTGTATACACCGACGCCATTGTGATCGATTCTGAGCCATGTCACCAAGAGTCTCCAACCATTGGTTACGATAGTCACGCGGACCCCAGCCAGGTAGTCTGTATCTACCAATATGGCTCAGACCAGAAGTTAGTGACTTCAAGCACTGATGCCACGTTTTGGTTTGGCCGCCCCTAACTTTCTTCCAATCATCCCTAACACCGGTTAGCATTGCGCGTCGTGGTAATCGGTGTTCAGGCATACGCAGCACGTGGCCCAACCATCTCAGTCTATGAAGATTCATAACCTCATCAACTGATTTACCATCATTCCCTAATACCCTGCGTCTAACCTCACTATTACTTACCCGGTGATCCCAGCAGCTGTGGTCAAATACTAGTAACTTACGAATATCTTCTACTCTTAATGGCCATGTTTCGCAGCCGTATAGTAGAACGGAACGAACTGCCGCGCAGTATACTCGTCCCTTAATTGATAGATGGATATCTCGCCTTCGCCATAGATGACGTAAGTTGGCAAAGGCCAAACGAGCTTTTCGAATCCGTGGTGAGATTTCGTCAGACACCAACCCATTAGGGCTGATCAGACTTCCAAGATAAGTGAAGTTGTCGACGCGTTCGATTACTTCACTCCCTATCTTTAGTTCAGGTGTTGACGCAGACCAGTCCTGAAGCAACAACTTGCATTTGGAGGGAAAGAAGCGCATCCCAAACATTCTGGCATTGTTGCTCAGTTCTACCAAAAGACTCTGCATTTCATCAGCGTCTTCACCAAACAGGACTATGTCATCTGCGTATTCTAAGTCAATAAGTGGACCTCCTGGTAGGAGATCAATACCTGAGAATTCAGTCGATGAGAGCGTTATTTCCATCAGTAGATCTATGATGAAGTTAAACAAAAATGGAGAAAGTGGACAGCCTTGACGGACGCCACTTGAGGTTGCGAAAGCAGATGACAGTTCGCCGTAGGCTCTGACTCGACTAGTAGTGTTCGAGTCAAGAGCTTTCACAAGGTTTATGTACTTCTGAGGTACGCCTTTCAATGACAGACACTGCCACAGAACCTCTCGATCAACAGAGTCAAATGCTGCTTTTAAATCAAGGAAGACCACTATTGTCGGCCGCCGATAAGTATGCCTGTGTTCTAGAACCTGACGAATGGTGAATATGTGGTCGATGCAGCCACGACCAGGTCTGAAGCCAGCCTGATTTTCACATGTTTGCAGCTCACGAATCTTAGTTAGGCGTCCGAAAATTATCGAAGCTAGTATTTTAGATATTATATTAGTTAAACTAATCCCTCTGTGGTTGTCACAGGATGATTTAGACCCTTTCTTAAATATTGGGACGATAAGTGATTGTGACCAGTTAGATGGGATAACGTCTAACTCCCAGATTTTAGCTAAAATATTAGTCAACCTAATCGCTAAAACTAGACCACCATCCTTAAAGACCTCTGGGGCCAATCCATCTGGACCAGCTGCCCTTCCTCGTTTCAGATTAGCTATAGCCTTTTTAACTTCAGCTAGAGTTGGGGGACCTACTTCTATGTTCCATTCATACTGTCTGGGAATAGAGGGTAGTTGTAGAGTAGCTGAAGGTCAACTGAATTGCTCCTTAAAATGTTCCGCCCATCGTTCTAAACGTCTGGACTGGGAGCAGATGAGTGTGTCATCTTTTTCCGAAATAGTCTGACTTACACTTGATTTATTAATTCCAGTTTCTTTTATTAGTCTGTAGAGTTGTCTTGTATTCCCTATAGCCGCCGCCTTTTCCATCTCTTTCGCTTTCGTTGCCCACCACTGCTCACGATCGTTCCTTAGACTTTTGCTTAACCTAGATCTGATTTCTTTACACTCTTCATCGTGTTCAGAACCTGATGGGATGAGTTTACGAGAATCTATCAGTGCAATAGACCTTGAAGAAATCCATTGGTTCTTTGTAACCCTGTGGTTTAAATCAATAGTAGATGTCACTGCTGTTTCCACAGCCGCTTGTATGTCTTTCCAATCAGCATCGGGGTCAGCCTCGTTTTCAGAAGTACCTAAGTGTGACCTCAGTTGTTCCTGGAACCTACTTTTGGTTTTCTCATTACTCAATTCGGTTCTAATGAGTCTTTTTTGTGTGGCTCTTTTGCGTCCAGTGAGGCGCAAGCAGATGCGTGCTCGTACTACGGCATGGTCGGAGTCCAAGCAGGTACTCCAAAATGAGCGACAGTCTTCTATTGACCCTCTCTAACGATGACTGATGGCAATATGGTCTATTTGAGTCCATCGTTGGTTTGGTGAAGGGGGTCGCCATGTTAGACGATATCTTTCCTTATGCTTAAAATTTGTGTTTGCTAAAAATAAACGATTGTCTGAGCAAAGTTGCAGCAGACGATCACCATTATCTGTTCGCTGTGCCGTAATACTAAAATACCCACCTAAATGTCTTTCTGTTTCGTTTAAGCTACCTACCTGGGCATTAAAGTCGCCTGCTACGAGTACTATGTCTGAACGTTTAGCTTTCTGAAGAAGTTCAGACAGCTTTCTGTAAAATTCATCTTTCACTTCATCCGAACTGCAGTCAGTGGGAGCGTAGGCAGAAACGACGAAAAGGCAACGACGTGTGTCCCTATCCTTTCGAGTTCTTACGGAGCCGTTTAGCCGAACAGCGCATAGACGACTATTAACGGGGATCCACTCTAATAGCGCTTGTTCCGCCCTCATGCTTAGTGCTATGCCTACACCTGCCAGTCCACGAGAACTAGCCATCGAGTCGCCAGATACACGGAGGGTGTATCTCGTCGGCTCTCCGTTTTGCCGAGGTGAGGTCAAGTGAATGACCACACTAGGATCCTGTATGCGTGTTTCGGAGACACAGCATACATCAATGGTATGAGATTCTGAGGTTTTAGCCAAGGAAGCCTGCTGACCGATTTGACATAGTGTGCGTACGTTGAAGGCTCCAATGTGTAGTTTGGAGCGAGGTTTCAGTAGACCTGGGACAGTGTTTTGCGCACTAGAATCGTTGGCTGTGGTGACACTTGAGGAGGAAGCCGAAAGAGGGAGTTTAGATTTGAAAGTCGATGTAAGAGGAATAATAGGAATTGAAGAGGTAGGTTGATTATGAATACAGTGATCTTGAGTGCTGTTAGAGGTATGAGGGCTGTTATCACTTCCCGGTTGCCCACACCGTGGAAGGGTTCTGCTGGAGGTACCTGAAAAGGAAATTGGATTAGAGGTGGTCATAGTGACCTGAGAGCGTGACCGCAGTGCCCAAGGGACAGCTGCTTGAGGTCGGTCACACACGACCTTTTTATGAGTAATTTTTGTGTTAGCTCCGTACTTGTTGAGACCTTACCGCCGGAGACGGATATTCGTGGGATAAGGCGAGGTGTGCATTTTTAGGGTCGACCTTTTCTAACCCTACCCCTCTTTGTGGGAAGGCAGCATCGCTGTTATGCTGGTTGTCTGAAGGAAACACCTTACTGCTGTCACACCTCTGTACATTCAGCAGTACGACTTCGCCTTCGGACCTTGGTTTTGTTGCTTTTAGTCTTACCGCTCTTCAACCGACCTGTTTGGCATGGTAGGACCTTGAGGAACGGTTGTTCCAGCCAATATAGCTCAGTTGCTTCATCACAATAGGCAAGCCCGACCACCACGTCAAGGTAGCAACAACGGTCAGGATTTGCAACAAGATTTAACACCGATGTTGGTTAGTATCACTGTGCATGTATGGTATGGGAAAGTTTGAGATTACTTGTCATGGTTCAGGAAACTGCCATAGTAAGTAATGATCTTGAGTACTCAGCGTCAATCTCTATGTTTCTCTTCCAGCATTAATCAATGTTTCATTCTACATCATTCATTTTCTATATTCACTTATTTATTTTTTATTTTTCTACTCTAGATTTCTATCACTTTTGAAATTATTTGTGTTTGTCACTTTTTTAACGGTTTATTGATTTCGCACCGCTGTAATAATACGAATTTTGGCAGTTTGATTTAACACACACTAAGGGGTTAGTTTCTAATGATTTCTGTTATGAATCTATCACTCGTTGCCATCGACAAGTTTACCGAACATAATCTTTTCATGTTTATCGATTGTGGAGGATGTCGATTGCTTTTAATGTTTAATCTTTTTACCATCAGGCGATATACTACGATTATTGTTGTTCAGACCTATCGAACATTAAATTGAGCCTATATCATAGCTACACACACTCTGTGGAGCTGTGGTTTAGTGGTTAAGACTCAAGTGTCAACCACAAAGTCCTAGGTTTGAAACCACGTACTTCAATATGGGCAACCGGGTAGCACTATCAACCCTCGCGCTTAATGTGGCTCATGCCCAAGTAACTGTTCAAACAGCAGTTCAAATCGTGTTTTACACAAACCTTGATTTGGGTAGTATGACAATACCATAATCCACTGTGAAGTGGTAATTTCCAATTAATAGTGGAATAAATGTAACCATATTGAATAACACAGCTCAATTTTTTCCACAACTTACTGTTTTATTTCATTTATTTTTGCGGTTTTATTTATTCAGATGAACTACCCAACGTTGTGAGGGATGTAGAAAGTAGAGTGGAGAGTGCCAAAACTAAATTGAGAGAATTTGAACATGTTATTGAGAAATATTTCGATGCACTGCTTATTGCTGTACAAGATAACAATGTAAAAAAAATTTTTATCTATAACTTATACTCTTATGAGTTAAACGTTTCATTGATATTTTCATTTTTCTTCCCTCATATAAATACATAGTAAATACAATAGTCTTGTAGAATTAAATAGTTTGACTGAATCATGATTGTTTCTTAACATTGTAAGTGTTTACATAAACGAATTTGGCTTGTAATTTGAAGGGGCTACATATATTGATCATAGTATAATAATAATAATAATAATAATAATAATAATAATAATAATAATAATAATAATAATAATACTGCCGTTTCTACTACTATTAGTAATGATGCCTGTCCCACTTAATTTTATGTTTTGTTGACTAATTTCCTTTTTAAAATATGCATCAATAATGTAACTGTATAACATTGGAATTTTCGTCGTTAAGAAAAGACCAAGTGCTAAAGTGGTTTTGTGACGGTGTCTTATAATTTGAAGGTGATTTTTATAACGTATTGATGTTAGCTGAAGAATCACTGCAATGAGCTAGAGCTAAATAGTTATTGTGTTTAATGAACTGTACTTTCAATTACTGAGTCACCAGTTTATACCTAGTACTTCTTGTCTTTCAATCGTTCTCCAGCTTATTTAATGTATCGATGAATTTACTTCTAGTATTATCGATCCTTAAACTACATATTCTAATTCGTTCATTTATTAATTAGTGTCTATAAATATTTATCACTTTATTCATCACATCTTCTGATTATCTTGTTAAGCATTCACAGTTATTTTCAGTAATGAAGTGCATATTCATTAACTTGAAACAGAAATATTTTACATACAGCTATCTGGCTTCTCACACTGGAGTAGATCAATCGGAGTTGAAAGTCAATCGCACTAATCACATTTAGCCACCAATTCTCAAAATAACTTAATAAATCCAAGTGATGTACGTGAAGTGGCTACTTGATGCTTATAGTACTCATCTACAGAATTTCAAATTAGAATATCGTCCCACCTACGTGAATTTAAGTCACTAAGTAGTATCACTAGCTTTCACGAAAAGAGAGGTATGGCTCAATACTGAGTACATAATCCTGCATTTAGTTACTAGCTTTGATGTGCCGGAGCCTTATATAACATTCAGCAATTAAGAAATCGTCATTAATATGTAATGTAATTTGCTACCGAAATTCTAAGTTAAAACTTGTTACAACGCCCAGCCTACTACCTAAAAAAGAAATTGCATATTGATTGGGGACTTGATCGTCTGTGTTGAATTCAATAAAAATTACAAGAATATTGCAAATTTCCTAACGTATCTTCCATAACACCATCTGGTGTTACTTCTTCCTTTAGAGTAAGTCGACTAGCTGATAATAAGAGTACACTACGTGAGTATTGCAGTGTCTAACACCAATTAAAAGCTTAAAATAGCTTCAATAATAATATTATTTCATTGGTTGTACGAAATATATGATACGGGTTTTTTATAAACAGATGATTAAATTACAAACGGTCAACTCTTATAGTAAAACAAGCTCTTTTTACATTAATTTTTAAAATGTATGGAATTATTATGAAAAGCAACTGTCCGAAACACTGGTATCTTTGATCACATCCTTAAGTTAAATGAGGCCATCGATGCTAACCCGCTTTCCTTTTTGAGACTCTCATCAGGAAATATCGTTTTGCTCTGCAAATAACTGAAAAGTATTAATTGTTCTTGTGCACTTTTTCAGTGTTCAAGTTACTCTCGATTCCATCAAGACTGTTATTGTTATTAATTTACTTCACATTTTCTATTGTTTGTTTTACTGTCTGCTTTATAATTCTAGGTTTCCACCATCAAAGCAACAATCCAAACATCTTTATTTGATTTTTGAACCTTTTCCTATTTTATTTTAGTTAATTTCGAAAGAGAAAAATTGGGATTTTGTTGGAAAACTAGAACTGAAAAAAGATATGTTAGAAGAACAAGTGGAAAAAATCGTCCAACAAGCTTCGTAAGTGTTATGTATTTTGGATGTGGGGGATTATCATTTAAATGTAAATTCACATGATGTCGATAAATGAATAAAATGTGGATTTTATTGTTTTCATCACGAACTGATCTTAGTTAGACAACCATCGAAAGCACTGGACAGTCGTTGCATCCTAGTATGGGATTTTTCAACAGTGCACAAATACGACTGTCACAGGGACCGAACCCAGGGCCATAATGTCTTGCTGTGAGCACTTAACCTTTAGACTATTGAATCGACATCTGATTGTTTACATTTATAACTTCAGTTACTTCTTCCAATACTATTAGTAGGAAACTTCTTCACATTTAACATGATCAAACTCCACTGATCGTGAGGTCATGAATTCATACTCCCGAGGAGTCTTATATTAGGACGAAACAACTGCCTAGTACTTCCTGGATTCTAATGATTGTTTGACTAAGGTCAGTACGTAATGCAAACTACGAAACTCGAAAATTCCCACAAACCCTTTTAATCGATGAAAATTTAAATTTTAAAAGGATCATCAGGATTTTATTTATCATTCAATGAATAATATATATATATATAACAGGGAAATCTGATAAAATCTAAGTTACGAAACTATTAAAACAATTTAGTGAACCGGGGGATCTTACCGTTAATCTTTTGTTGTCATTCTTGATAATTTGAGCTTGCGTAGTTGCTATCTTCGAAGGGATTACGAGATCACCTAAAATCGGCAAACGGAACGAAGGGTCAGCAACCCAACAACAAGACAAGTTAAACTATTCCAATGCATCTCAGCCCTGCTAACTAGAGAGAGAAGACCAGATTCAGAAAAGGTAGAAGTATGTTTTATAAGCAGTCAAAAGCACGAACAAATCAAGCACACAACTCTAGCGTGTACATACAGTATAAAGGTCCTTGGGAAACGTCACAAATTAGCGTATTAAAAGAGGCAATGAACTAATAACGTTTAGGGTCTTTCCAAGTAGAAAATACAATTTAAAGGTAAAAATGGGCTCGCGAAAGCGTGCGATTCAAGTTTGCAAAATAAAATTACAACGAATTCTGTAACATTGTCTTTAAGAGAGAAATAGGATATTTGTGTTAAGATTTATCCTCCCATATTCTTCTCTCTCTGTTACCGTCTTTACAACATCAGTCAAGAATTTCCGCACATTGACGTTCTAGTCGATAATCATTTTCTTCTTAGTGCACATTTATTATGGAGGGTTAGTTTGGTAGTTAACTCATTTGATCGTCAACCATTAGGTCACATGTTTAAATCTCTCTCCAGTCACGTTGACCTTGTGAAACTCGGGTACGGTCACTGACCGAGTATATAATTTTATTCCTGTCTATTGTTGAGTGGGTTATAACGGTGTATGCTACTTCCTCTTGCTTCCTGTATCTCTAGGAGACAACTGTGAACAACTTTTTATTCAGTATATTTAAAATAACTTACCATCTAGTTATATACTTTTTAGAAATATTTATGCTATACCTTGATCGATTTACTAAAAAATGCTCTATGATATCACTTTACAATATGAATATCTGTGAAATATAACTACTCGAATCAAATTCTATATTTTCTTATTATTTTATGGATATTTTCGCTTGTTAATATTTAAATAAGAAGTAAATTAAGCTATAATTTTCTTCAGAATCTGTTTTATTGTTTTCTGGGGTTTGTGGTAGTTGAATTCGGTTTTTTGATTGGGGAATTTCAGTTTTATGTTGTTAGTAGATTTCTAAATGGCGAAAATATATCCCATATTCTTCATTTTAGCTAGTAGCTTGGCTGTTTAGATCATCGATCTTCAACTACATCGCTACAAGTTTTTGAAGGTTACTTCTATTTTCCTTTGAATATTTGCATTATAAAAGCTACCAGTCAGTCAATCATGTGCAACTTAGGACCTAGCACTTATGTGCATCAGCTCAGGTCACCACATCATTCAGCACAGCCAGATCCCTTAGTAGTAGAAGTAGTAACGTAATCAGTTGTAGTACAAAGATTACGCATAAACTTTGTGATTCAAGAAGAAATGAATTCGTGAAATAAAAGTAAAAGTGTTGGATCGTTTTAGAACTCAGGACACAAGCGAAGCTGAAGAGTGAATATACCAGCCTTACTGTAAACGATTCTGGCCCATATCACCCAAAGTCTCAAACCATTGGTTGTGGTAATTGCGCAAACCTCGACTAGGTAGTCGGCATCTATCAACATACTCAAATCGACACTCGACTTCATGAACCGATGACACGTTTTAGTTTGATCGCCTTTATGCTATGGATTCAACTTGTAATCTCTGATGCGTTTATACCTAAATTTTGTTTCTTGTAACGTGATGTTCTGGATAATTATGTTTATTTATTTTCCATCTTTATTAATTAGACAACAACTTGACGAACTTCATCATATCATTGAGCAACATAAAAATTCGGAACAAGCAATTGACAGTAATATCATCCCTGATTCTATTGAAACTTATGGAAAATTACAATATGACTTGACTGGATCAATCAATAAGGTAGGCATATACTTCACGATTGTTTTGTGATTCAAAACTTCAGAACACGTCACTTTGTAGATTTTATTTTGTGAATTTCCCCCAAGCTTATGCGACAGAGAAAAGGTTGATAAATAACGACGACGTTAGTGGTATAGGTGTTTGACTTTCAGGGAGTATATCCACCTACTTTGGTTTGGATAACCGGTTAGTACCAGTCAAACTCAACTACACATATTTTTACTCAGTAAATGAGTTACACCATTTGATGAGTAACAGTTTTTGATGGAGTTTTGTTCTCTGAGCTTGATGGTTTGGTCGTGGAGCTTTCATCGTTCTTCTGAACGAGTAACAGTTCATTATCTTGTACTACTTAGAACTTTTTTCTTGTAGTACCCCTAAACGAGTGGATTTGATCCATGTCAAAATCATCGGTACATATTTTTGAGAAGTTCGATACTAAGACAAAACGGTTGTTTGGTGCTCTCTTTTCTCTTAAGTTCATCAGCTGATATCATTCCATAACGAAAACTAACTTTGAAATATTTAAACGTTTTACTGGTATATGAAATATTAAGCTGAGTGATCTAGACATGACATAAAAAAGCTGTTTGATTTGTTAATAAGAACTTCTGAATACATAGTGAGCTCGTATACTGTATATGGCTTCATATGTTAGCACATAAAATATTGAATTCCTAATATCCCCGGGATAAATACGCGTTGTATTTAATTGATCTTGTGAAACATAGTCGATTGCTTTGTATTCTAATCAGTATGAACCGCTTCTAACGATTCGCCTAACATGCTCAGGCTACTATAATATGAATATGATCAAAATCAATCCAGCGTATTCATGGGATGTAATCAGTCATTTAGTTTTTTTAAGAAGCTGTCTTAAAGTGCGACTTCTTATGAGATTACCACCATGCCAAATGTTGCAACATGAATAGTGTTTTAATTAAGCAACCAATTCAAATTTTTATTTTGACTACATTTATAATTATGAGCAGGGATGAATGGTCATTAGCAGTGGAATCCAGGACGCTCGTTTCGTCCAACTTAGGACTCGTTAGTTCATAATACTTGTGGCTTGAGGCAATATCGAGACAATCCCCACAGGATGCACGTATGCCAATAAGAAATTGATCGATTGCAGTACTAAATGTCAGTGAGAAGATCCAAACAACCAATACAAGATAGATTTATAATGTTAACCGTTGTTAACCGTTTCATGTACCAAGACATTTCTAGATAATCAAACTACAAATTGAAAATGAATTGACAATTTTCACGTACTAAACTAGATTAACACAATATAGTTGGCCTCTAAATATTATTTTGCTTTCTGGTTAGTTTCTTCATGTTTTGAATCCCCCCTCCCCCATTGGAATTGAAATGCTTTTATGATTTTCTCAATGATTTCATTGGTTTATAGGTAGTAAAACTTCAGAACGATGTTAATATGCTTAAACGTTATCGTGATTTAGCTTCTTCGTCGCATACAAACTTACAGAATGATTTAGAAGCTTTGTCGAAACATATTGAAGGGAAAAGGCAGAGCAAAGGTAAACAATTGTAATTGATATTACAACATTGTTCTATTTTTATATTCTTATTTAAATTGTTAATCCACCCACATTGAAATTATACTTAATAAAATTGAATTACAATTTTATTGTGTACGTTTGATAAGATTTGTGCTTAAAACCAATCCATGCTGTAAATTCCTTCTCGATCATGCTATCCTGAGATCATTTTCAGAATATGCTTTTGCATAGTATTCTTGGACATTACTTCACTTGATAAATCCCTAAATTAGAACAGGTTGAACAGGAATGTAATTATACTCCAAATAAACAAAGATTCGGAATAAGAAAAACGTTAGTATAAATTCACTTGGTGTTATTTGCTTGTGTCTTCCCATTGCTGTTTAGGACTGCGATTGATCAGTCTCTTGTTGGCATATAAGCATCCTGTGCAGATTGCCTTGATATTGTCTCAAGTCACAGACTTTATAATCAAAGATGGATGGTGGCTAGCAATGGAATCTAAGACACACGTTTCGTCCTATTTGGGACTCGACAGCCAGATGTACATGAACCCCACAGTTGATGTCCACTCCGCAACTCGAACCCAGTACTGTTCGCTTCAAACTCCATCGCGTTATCCACTTAGCTGCTGAGTCCTGATAGCCACCTGCTTGTGTAATGGTGCTGTTTGCCTATATCATCAAGTGAATTTTAAGCTAACGGTGCTGGGTTTGAGTCCCGGAGTGAGTACCAGCTGTGGGACGCAAATACATCCGGCTGATGAGTCCCAAATAGGACGAAACGCGCGTTCTGGATTTCACTGCTAACTACCATCCATTTTTGCCAATAAAACATTAGTATATTTGTGGTTTTTACATAAGAAGATTCTATGGTCTCCTTGTATCTACTAGTACTGATTAGTTATGAAATAGCCAATCAGCGCGTCCTAACACAATTCTGCACGGAACATGCTTTAATCTAATCTACATCCTGCTAACAGAATGACTGAACAGTATTTAACTTTACTTATTTAGGGGATAGCATTACATCCAAGATAAAGGCGGTGGATATATTTTACTGTCTTTTTTGAAATACTGCTATAGTTGCTTTTGACTGCATGAAAAACTTAAATTTCAGAAATACCAAAATGTTTATTTTCGACGATATGTACATCAATGATATCAGAGTAAATCCATCGGGTATGTCCTGCTAGGCCGTCGAACGAAACAAAACATCTGGATTCACTGTTCCATCGTTTTTTTTTTTCATCTTGCTAAATTATCATTTTAATAATCTAATTATTATTTTGAACTGCGTAGACAAGTGATTTGATAATACATTCTCTGGAAAACTGACCATGAAAATTTTCTGTGTATGATGGATATTTTGTATAGTTTGCTTGCCACCTGAAGCAGAGTGAGGGTACGCAACCACCTCTCCATTATCCTATCCAAGCAGTGGGGTTGGGGAAAGTTTCTCGACCTCAACTCTTCTATCGATAACATTCTGTAGGTACATATTTGTAGTGTAGATCTATTACCTGGATAAACGCGTCTCGTCTTTGCATATATTTGTGAGGTCTACTTAGCTATTGAAACTTACTAATTGTTTATCACGGGGTGCTTATGTGTAAGTCTTTAATCTTTATTGGGGGAACATTTTTTATTGAATTAGTCAAAAGGATTTTCGAGTGATCACTAATGACAGATTATGCTGTTGTACTTGGTTGAGTGTAATTTATAATGAAGAATTCTACTGCTCATTTTCATCTTGTAACCTTCTAATTAGAACCCTAATTACGTCATCTAATTTAAATTACTTACTTACTTATTTACGCCTGTTACTCCTCGAGAAGGAGCATAGGCCGCTCACCAGCATTCCCCATCCAACCCTGTCCTGGGCAATCCTTTCGAGCTCTTTCCAGTTCTTATTCATCCTTTTCATATCTGCTTCTTTGGCCTTCCTCTTTTCCGCTTCCCTTCAGGATTCCAAGTTAGCGCTTGTCTTGTAATGCAGTTTGATGATTTCCTCAATGTATGTCCTATCCATTTCCATCGTCTTTTCCTAATTTCCTCTTCAGCTGGAAGCTGGTTGGTTCTCTCCCACAAAAGGCTGTTGCTGATGGTATCCGGCCAATGGATGTTGAGTATCATGCGTAGACAGCTATCGATAAATACCTGTACCTTCTTGATGATGGTTGTTGTAGTTCTCCAAGTTTTAGCTCCGTACAGTAGAACTGCCTTGACGTTCGTATTGAAGATTCTGACTTTGATATTGGTTGAAAGTTGTTTTGAGTTCCATATGTTCTTCAGTTGAAGGAATGCCGCTCTAGCTTTGCCAATCCTCGCCTTGACGTCTTCATCTGAACCTCCTTGTTTATCGACGATGCTTCCCAGGTATGTGAAGGATTCTACATCTTCCAGAGTTTCGCCATCAAGAGTGATTGGATTGCTGTTCTCCGTGTTGTGTTTGAGGACCTTGGTTTTCCCTTTGTGTATGTTGAGGCCTACTGATGCAGAGACTGCTGCTATGCTGGCTGTCTTTATCTGCATTTGTTCGTGTGTATGTGATAGGAGGGCTAGGTCATCTGCGAAGTCCAAGTCTTCTAATTGGTTCTGAGCTGTCCATCGTATGCCGTGGTTTCCCTCAGATGTCGAGGTCTTCATAATCCAGTCGACCACCAGAAGAAACAGGAAGGGAGAGAGTAGACAGCCTTGTCTGACTCCGGTCCTTACTTGGAATGCGTCTGTCAGCTGTCCTCCATGCACTACTTTGCACTGTAGTCCATCGTATGAGTTCCGGATAATGTTGACAATCTTCTCAGGAACTCCGTAGTGTCGAAGAAGTTTCCATAACGTCCTCCTATCTACACTATCAAATGCCTTCTCATAATCAATGAAGTTGATGTAGAGTGACGAGTTCCACTCAATTGATTGTTCGACGATGATCCGTAGTGTCGCAATCTGGTCTGTGCACGACCGGTCCTTACGGAATCCAGCTTTTTGATCTCGAAGTTGAGCGTCAACTGCGTCTTTCATCCTGTTCAGTAACACTCTGTTGAAGACTTTACCCGGTATTGACAGTAGTGTAATGCCTCTGTAGTGTTCACACTTGCTCAGATCTCCTTTCTTTGGAATCTTGATGAGGTGTCCTTCTTTCCAATCCATCGGCACTTAGTCCCCCTCCCAAATCTTCTTGAATAGAAGATGAAGCATGCTTGTATTTACTTCGATGTCTGACTTCAACGCTTCAGCTGGTATATTGTCAGGTCCTGCTGCTTTCCCGCTCTTGATTTGTCTGATGGCCATTCTGATTTCTTCGGTCGTTGGTGGATTGACATTTATAGGAAGATCTGTGTGTGCTGCTTCGATGTCCGGTGGATTCATTGGAGCCGGCCTATTCAGGAGTTCCTAGAGGTACTCTGCCCATCTGTTCCGCTGTTGTTGAATCTCAGTGATTGGTCTTCCTTCTTTGTCTTTGACTGGTCTCTCTGGTTTACTGTATTTCCCTGCTAGCTTCTTCGTCGTATCGTAAAGCTGTCTCATATTTCCTTCTCTTGCAGCTTTTTTCGCCGTCGTTGCTAGTTTTTCCACGTATTTTTGCTTGTCAGCTCTAATGCTCTTCTTCACTTTCTTGTTTGCTTCTATGTACTCAGCTTGTGCTTGGACTTTCTCTGCTCTTGTTCGACTGTTGTTAATTGCTGTCTTCTTGTTCTTTCTTTCTTTGATCCTGTCCAGTGTTTCTATAGAGATCCATTCCTTGTGATGATGCTTCTTGGGGCCCAGAACCTCTTGACACGTTGAAGTTAATGTTTCTTTGATACCTTTCCAGCTATCCTCCATAGTAGTTTCTTCTTCCTTCAGTAGATCCTGTAAGGCTTGGAACCTGTTGTTGAGAGCTACCTTGAATTCATTGAGTTTGTCAGTATCTCGAAGGAAGGCTGTATTGAACCTTTGTGGTGCTGTTTGTCCAGTTGTCCAGTTTTTCTTTAGCTTCAGTTTCAATTTGGCCACAACCAGGTGGTGATCTGAAGCTATGTCTGCTCCTCTCCTGGTTTCCACATCTTCCATTGTCCTTCGGAACTTTTTATTGATGCAAATATGATCTATCTGGTTCTCTGTGGTGTGGTCCGGTGAGATCCATGTAGCTTTGTGTATACGTTTGTGTGGAAATGTTGTACCGCCTATGACCAATTTATTGAATGCACACAGATTTGCAAATCTTTCCCCGTTTTCGTTTCTCTCTCCCAGTCCATGTAGTCCCATGATGTCTTCATATCCGGTGTTGTCCATTCCGACTTTGGCGTTTAGATCTCCCATCAGAATGGTGAGGTCCTTTCTTGGGCACTTCTCTATGATTGATTGCAGCCTCTCATAGAATTGATCCTTAACGTCGTCGTTGCTATCATTGGTAGGTGCATAACATTGGATAATGTTCATTGTGATACCCTCCTTCTTTGTTTTGAATGATGCTTTGATGATTCTGGATCCGTGAGATTCCCATCCTACAAGTGCATTTTGTGCTACTTTGGACAGCATTAGAGCAACTCCCTGAGTGTGTGGAGCATTTTCCTCTTTGTGACCGGAGTATAGCAACATCTCTCCCGTATTTAGCCTTTGTTGTCCAGCTTCGGTCCAATGGGTTTCGCTGATTCCCAGCACTGCCAAGTTGTATCTCCTCATTTCCGTTGCTATTTGACTGGTCTTCCCGGTCTCCCACATTGTCCGGACGTTACATGTACCTATAAAAATTGTTGCTCTGGTTGTTAGGAGGGGCATCGGCCTCGTGGCTTCCGAAGGAACTCGGCTTTCACCATGAAGCGTCATATTACCTCTAACTCCCAGGGCAGAGTTTAAATGGTTTGAGTTTTTTTTTTTCTGGTTAGCGTTTTTTTAGTGTTGAGTGTAATTTATAATGAAGAATTCTACTGCTCATTTTCATCTTGTCACCTTCTAATTAGAACCCTAATTACGTCATCTAATTTAAATACTCATTTCGAATTTCATAATGAAGTACTCTTTTCATTTAATATGATCAGGGTTTGGAATCGATTAAATATTATTACACGCAATATATATATATATATATATATATATATATATATATATATATATCATAACAGTCTATAGATAGGTCCGGAAGTTATTTATGATTTAATCTTCGGATATAACAAATGGAACCCATGTTCTTCACTTTCTTGTTCCCTTGTTGTGCATCATCCGTCAAAGTATTCTTCGAAATTTCGTTTTCTCTGCACGTTTGTCTATGAGTAGTAGTGATTAATGTTATGTTTATTCTTCAGTATTGATTGGATCTTGTCGATGAAGTTGCATTGTATCAACTAAAGTAAATAGCTTGGAATTTCGTTCAGTATTAGTTGGTTGAAGGCACTCGTTAGGCTTTCGTGTTAGTTAAAATTCGTCAGCATGATTTATTTACAAAAATAAAGGCCTTCCGGAATGCTAATACATCTCTTTAATTAGTGTTAGTTGGCATGAAATGAAATTTCATTGTTTCCTTTTAATATTCTTCATTTGTCCAATGATTTCTTGAAAATAGTCACTGATTATTGTATTTTATGTTTTGTTATACTAATCCTATTGGTTATTTTAGGCACTTCCAAAACAATGAATGTGGATGAGTTGAATGATTTGATTTCAGTGGCACATGCCCGTATCTCTTCCTTACAAGATAAATTAGATCATTTAGAACATAGTGAAAGAGAACGAATGAAATCAGCTTTAGAAGCACAACGTCAAGCAGATGACAGTCTTCGAAAAGAATATATCAAACAAGAATTAAATCGAGAACGCACGAGACATGAGATTGAAAGACATAAATGGGTGTGTAACTGTTTAGTTTTCTATCTGCCTAATTATTATATTCTTTTTTCAACAACACTTCCGGTTGCATAAGAAACTTTTGGGTAGGTGAAATAATTTAACTTCAATTAAAACATCATAACATTGTCTCTTGTATTTACTGAATGATAAACCGATTGAACTGCAACATTGATTGATAACGATTTTAATTTTTGAGTCATCATCACTTATCATTAGATTGAAGATCTGCTTAACTAACAAGTATCAAACAGTACAACATATAGATAAAGGGCTTCTTGTGTATTCCTTTATTCTTCTAGAACTTAATGGCCTAAGTACTCAGGTGATAATCATCAGATCTCAAGTTTGAACCTCACTTAACTCACTTAATTTTAGATAGTCCTGTCCTAACACGGATATATACTTAATTGCCGAGTTGAAAACTCCATTAAAATTAAAATTTAGCGTTATCGAAATATAAAGAATGAGATGATAGATGTTGTAGTAATTTAGATACGAATCACTAACTGCTCAGGAGCGTTGTGTGAATTAGCTGGATTATCCTAACATAGGTAAACTGAGGTGGATTTTTAATTTTAGTATTAATCGTTTTAAACAACTCATGGCTATATTTGTGTTCATTTGGTAGTATATATATAAGATCATAATATGTCAAGAAACTGCAGAAGATTTTTGCACGCACTCAAAATTCCATCGATCTGACAGTAGTAGTATCTGTAATAGTAGGAAAAATTACGGTTTGTGAATTGTAAATGAAGGCGAAAGAATTAATTCACAGACTAAAAGGCATAAAGTAGTTTTAATGCACATCAACTTATTTATTTATTTATTTGAACACATAGATATTGGTACAAGGAGGCACCACACAAATCTCATTTGATTTGTGCGAGGGCTGGGATACTGCCCGGGTGTTCTAATCGAAGCAGGTGCTTGTCTTAGGGAGGCCACACCCGAAACTTTCGACCGGAAGATCTGATCCACAAGGCAGTGGAACATCGTATGGAGATGCAGTCCCATGGTAGCCGGTGACCAACGATTGGTTCATACTCCATTTGTTCCTTCAGGATACTGGAACCCATGTGCACTATTGGTTTGGAATCAGGGTTTTCCGATTCCCCTAAGTGAATCCTCCATATCAACCTTCCCGGTTAAAGCGCTGGACATTCGATTTTCGTCCTTTCAATTTTGTAAACAACAGTAGTGCCACGAGAAGGCAGTGAGTAGGACTTCTCTGGCAGAGGCTATATACGCGTAACCATGTGAGAGCGTTTCGATAGGGTGAGCGAACTCTCCCCACTCTCGGCCGTATTAGGGCATTTGAGGACAAACTGTGGCAACTGTTTGTTGCAATGTGGAAGTGCCGGGCACATTAACTATTATTAATACATTTTTTCCTATAGCTTGGTCATGATATTGTACTCTGTTTTTGTCATTTTACAAAAGCCTGCTTATTTTATATAGTTTCATCACAACAAGTACTTTATTAAATGAATAATTATTATCCATCTGTACAATATTATTTAAATTAGTTACGAGAAGCACGTGATGCTAAAGAACATGAATCAAGATTAGCACTGGCGAGACATAGTGAACATCTTTCACATATGTTACAATTACAGAAAGAGAAAATGGAGCATCGATTCGCACATCAACTGCGTGAAGAGTTGGCAAAAGAAAGAGTTGCTTTTGAAGCTGCACTTATCGGTTGGACTAAGCGTATGGAAGCCATAGAAGATGTTATAGACGGTTAGTTAACTGTTGATTTTTTTATTTCCGCAGTATTTATTTGACTCGTATTATTAGTTTTTTATTTCATGCAGTAATAACCGACAAAATCCTCTTAAGAAAAAAATATATGTTCAGTATTTAGTATGCATGTTATCTGTGGCTTGTTGCTTTATACATTCGACTTTCAACCAGCGGGTCACAAGTTAAAACTTTGCTTCATGTTTGGCTATCAGATTTTAAACTTTATTTTTTGTTACTTTACAATTCTGACTTTTTAATCCAATAAACGGGATCGTACGTGAATATCAACTTATGTGTTGTATCGTTTCTATTATGTATCAGCACAGCTAAAAATTTAATACTTGGCAGGTAGTTCATTCCTTACATCTTTCTCTTTTCTCTTCAAGATATGCTTTATTAACAACTCATCAAACATATTAATTTTCCTATTTCAGGAAGAGCGGATCTAGATCGGTTAGCTAAAGAAGCACAATCATTATGGCTTTCATGTGAAGCTTTAGCCTGTCGACTGCATTCAGTTAGCCCGTCAATGAAACCTCACCATGAAACGAAAAGCGATTCAGTCCTACTGAGTCAAACTGGATCTTTAAAAGATTTTGTCAATTCTATTCGTGAATGCGCCACTTCCGGAAACTACCCTTTTGTCAATATAATTCTAGACAGTCTGTCTAATGATATAGTGGAAAACGGAGTTTGGACAGAAAATGGATTGAAGAAGAGATTTGAAAAGGTGAATTTCTATCTTTTCTTTACAGTTTTTCAAATAATTCAAATAGATTTTTCGTGTTTGATTCCTTGAATTTGGTTATCACTTAAGACTTACTAGATATGCACATAACTGAAGTGATGCTCATCGACTTGCGTTTTAATAATTGAAACATCGTTTCCGTCATACCACCTTTTGAATACACCATTCCTCGAAATACTGTCGATGCGAAACCAAAAATTCTTTTTTTTTTAGTAAACATTACATAGAGTTTTACCATCGTCCGTCAAGTTTGCAGACCGAACCATGTGTTACCATTGCCTAATAACCAGTTTTGACACATTGAAGGACCGGCTTTAAGACAAATATGCCGCTACAAGATTATGTCATTACATTTTGTCATATCTTATGACATCTATCAAGTATTATGGCTATAGAAGGATTTAATAATTAAGTTTTTTGTAATTCAGCAACCAAGTACCAATTCGCGTGTTTAGTTTTTTCCTGTGTTTTACATATATTTGTATGAAATAGTGCTGTTACCCACGTGCCTAGATCGATTTTGCTTTAGCGGGGTTCGAACTTGCGGTTTCATGGTTAAATATTGTGTTTAAGCTCCTACGCCAGTGCTTGCACATTAAAGTAAATTGTTTGTAACAATGGTTTCATTATCAATAAGTAATTGCGAGTGAATTTTAAATTATCTCTCATTGTTCTACAGAGCTGGTTTCTGTGACTACTTATCGCTTTCAACCAAGATGCTTGAACGTTTTTAGGGAAATATGATTGTATATCTTGCACTGACCATTGTAAAGCAACCTTCATGTACTTATAATATAACTAAAAAAACAACTTTTCTAAAGTGTCGCGTTCATTTGTTCTTGTGTGTTCAGATTAAACGGTATCAAAGCAATTTTATTGAAAAATCGACTTACTCATTTGCTTTATGGAAATGTTATTGTATATTTTGAATGTTAATTACAGTCTTCATTGTAGAGTTATATGGTACCTTGTGCGTACTAAAAATATATACTGTATAGGGTTGGATGTGTTTCATCTCCATCTGTCACGTCTATTTCAAAATCAAAAACTGCTTACTGTTGTTTGTTTTTAAATCTATCAAAGCGATTGCTAAAAATGTCGACCTACCATATTCCATATGTATTATGTGGGACACTGTTATGTCTACTGAATGCTTAACTGGCTTGTACTTTGTACTCAGGTCGTGAATTCGGAGACGCATAGTGAGAAAAGGAAGACTGGTGATAAGGATTTATTTGACCTCGGAAATAAATCGAAATGGTGCATGAAGACACTCATTTACATATTGATTTTACTCGGCTTTTATGATTGGTTAACATTTCGTAAGCATAGGGGAAATACACAAAATTATTACAAAAACTCAGACTACATACCATACTGAAACGAATTTCTTACTGAATTCAAAAAATATAGTCTTGAATAAATCAATATTATACTGAACAAAATATCACATTGAAATCAAAATAAATATTACTCTGTATAGTCATAATGTGAAATCAAAAAATGGAAGTAATGTTGAATGAAAAGCACAGTGAGTTAAGAACACGATTTTAGCAATTAATAGATTGGAGTAAGATTTTGTGAATAATCAGTTTTCTAAATACTGCAAACTGAGCCAACCACCGCCCACCTCTAGAAGGTGTGTTTACTGGGATAGAAACGAACTGGAATAAATTGACCAAATCAATACATGAGATCAGTCCATGAAGTCATTGACTACTGATCTAAACCATCGTGAGATGCAGATCACCTAGTTGAAGTTCGTGCAATGAAGGCGATCTGGGGTTGGAGATTATATAATGTGGCTTAAAGTAGTTTGCAGTGCCACAGGTACATTCACTCTTTATCTTCCTGTTGATCTGCAATCCCATATTTTCCTCATATATATCAATTCATATTTCAAATATTTGGTTCTTCTCACTGTCATTGCTACTACATTATTTCTATCTCTTTCGCAATCCATTTTGTTAATTCCACATCATCGTGCTAATGTGGTGTGGGAACTTGAACCAACGCAAATCTTTGCAAGGCTATATGTCGATTATCAGTGACTGGCTGGTAATTCGAACCGGGTCAATTATTTCTTTTATTAAATTGCTTCTTTGTCCGATTGGAAATAATCTTGATTTTTTAGATACTTTTTCACTTTAGACCTTTTCAAGGCAACTGATATATCCAAGTTTTATTATTTATAACTGAGCCTATTATGGACTATTCACATACTTAAACCATTAGATTTGTAGGTTATATTTCAAAGGCGAATTTCGTTTGTAAAATATTAACAAATCCCATTCATTTATTTCGCATTCGTAATGATTGCATATTAGATTATTCGTAAAGATTTTACATTTGTTTTGTACCGTTTACTGTTTTTTGTTTTTTAAGGTATATAACGTCTGCAGAAATGTTGCATTAATTGATGAAACAAGTGGTTCACTATGGGAATATGCTTTATCATGGCTACAGTCTATATTAATCGTAGATGTGAAATATAAATGTTTGGAAGCGATTTCACGTATTAAACCAAATATTGGTAGTCCTTATGTTCAATACATTAAAGATTATGATGCAACGAAACAAACGGACTCAAGACCAGATTCATTTCAGTTGTTATCTAGTGCCAAATTTGCTATGGCTAGTGACCATAATATCTTTTCAGGTGACGAAAATACATCTGGTGATGAAGCACTTGAAACAGCTGTACGATTGTTAGGTCAGTTGAGTGGTCAATCTCGTGTTGTTGCAAATGATTGGTTAGTTGATGCTCGACACTATTTAGAAGCTAAACAGACTGCTAGAACGTTATTAGCTTATGTTGCAGCTCGTGATATTTCTACTTTCCAAAAACGTCTATAATTTTATTCAAAAAGAACCATTTAAAAGGGCTATTTCATTATTTATCGTTCTTGAGTACTGTTTGAATCTTTTCATGAAGCATCGTTTGTGAAATTAGTATTTAATTTTTGTATGAAGTGAATTCTGATTTGTAATTAGCCTTATTTAAATGTACATGAATATAACTAGACAGAAATACAGTAGTACACTTTTCCTATCAAGATTTTCTTTGGTGTTGTCATGGATTAGTGTTATTGTTGGAAATCTTTCCACTATTTTGATTACACAATATCTTGTTGTCTAACAAATTCTATTTAGTCAATTGCTTGTAGTAATTCTATATTTGTATCCTTATGGTAGTAATAATACTTACGGGCGAATAAATAGCACATATCACCCACTACTCCAAATCTTAGGATATTAGCATTGAATATACTCTACGATTTAGGAATTTGTAGTTAAATTCCATTAACTCTTTGAGACAACTAGTTTGTTTGGTTCTAATCAGACCTTTCATCAGCCCTCAGTGGCGTAGATCCGTTAATTTTAATCTATCTGTGTGTCATTGTCATTGAGTTGTTGAAGCATGATATTTCAGCGATTAAAATACTGTCTATTTAAGTTCGAAACTTGTGACTGCTGATACAATCAATATTGCTTTCAGTCTCTTGTTGTTTTTTTTTGCAACAATATATTGATTATATATGTTTGCAGTAGTTCAGTGAATACATACGGCGATACGTGTTCATTTTTCAAACTAGTTTCACATCGATACCTAACGCTGCAAGATGATACAAAAGATCACTAAATTGTTGTTTTAATAAGTATTGGGAACTCCTTAATAATCGAAGCGAGTTTCGGCAAACGACAACTCAATAATTTCCAACGATTAGGTACTATAAACCAGGATAATTTTCGACAAGGTTACTCAGATAAAGTGTATCTACAAAATCCCTACCGTTGTTGCTACTTTGACGTGGTGGTCGGGCTTGCCTGTCGTGATGAAGTAGCCGAGCTATACTGGCTGGAACAACCGTTCCTCAAGGTCCCACCATGCCAGACAGGTCGGTTGAAGAGCGGTAAGACTAAAAGCAACAAAACCAAGGTCCGAAGGCGAAGTCGTACTGCTGAATGTACAGAGGTGTGACAGCAGTAGGGTGTTTTACCTCTAGACAACCAGCATGAAGGCGATGCTGCCTTCCCACAAAGAGGGGTAGGGTTAGAAAAGGTCGACCCTAAAAATGCACACCTCGCCTTATCCCACGAATATCCGTCTCCGGCGGTAAGGTCTCAACAAGTACGGAGCTAACACAAAAATTACTCATAAAAAGGTCGTGTGTGACCGACCTCAAGCAGCTGTCCCTTGGGCACTGCGGTCACGCTCTCAGGTCACTATGACCACCTCTAATCCAATTTCCTTTTCAGGTACCTCCAGCAGAACCCTTTCACGGTGTGGGCAACCGGGAATTGATGACCGCCCTCATACCTCTTATAGCACTCAAGACCACTGACTGATATACAAAATATGATTCCACGTAGAACCGAGATTACGTAATCAAGCAGTTTATTTCATCAACTAGTGCATATAATTTTGCTGCTGGCTGATTGGCTAGATTGCTAACCATCCCAAGTATACTTCACCATCAAAACCAATGAGGTTCTTAGTTTAAGACGGTGGATTATAATCCTTTTATCCACAGGTTTTGACACTACGTGATTATTGTACGCCATAGACTAGAATAAAATATTACATGTCTAGTTTTTCGTTTGAAGACAGTGTAGTCTCACCAGTCGAATGGTTCTTAGTGAACTCTGTCACATATTACTAGTAATTGGTTTAAGCAACAGATGCCTCGGGGTCTTTGTGAAAGTTATCTGCCATATATACTTGGAAAAAAGAAAATAGAGATCTTTGGTAAGTCAAAATAAATTTTCCATTCCACTGGTGTTTAGAATTTTTCTGGTCGCCATGATTATTAGCGAAATGTTCTCAACACTTTGGATAGTTCTTCAAGGTTCCAAAGTATTTATTTGTTTTTGGGTTCCAAAAAGTGCTCAACTTATATAATCATCAACTTGAATCGATGTCTTGACACTCAGAAATCAGTTTCCATATACTGAGTTCGTAAAGTAGGAACGTTTTAGTTTGTTTTTTATGTAATAAAGAATATGTCCAATATTTTTGTGACAAGGTAGTGTTAACAAATTGTTTTCTTTGGATTCATACCTCAGAATTAAGGTAGGTTCCAGGATCTTGTGTATCTCCTAATGTTAATGATCTAGCCGAATGGCCTCACTTGTCCTATTACGTTTGAGTTATTTGGTTGTTGATATATCTTGAGTGTGTGTACATCCCCCAGACCAGTGGAATTACCAAAACTAGTAGTAATCACGTTTATGAGTTGAATTGTTGGTTGTAATATAAAATATTTAGAATCGTAAGTTTTAGAGAAAGTGCAACGGCTAAAGGTAAATATATGAGCTAATAAAAGATAACAAATACAATCGAACAATATTGTTTTCAATTAGTTCCTCATCAGGCTTTAATAAGCGGTAATATATAGATCTAACATTGTGGAATAAGTCAGTAGTTGTTCCTCTATTAGAGAAGGGCTTACTTCTTTTCTACGACAACTATTGGGTGATAAGTCTACTTCCGATCGCGTCCAAACTATTTGCGTCCGTCATACTTCGTAGATTGTTCGAAACCCGAGAAAGATTGATTCGAGGGGAGTAGGATGATTCTCGTTCTGGTCGAGGACTTACTGATCATATCTTCACCCTCCGCCAAACGTCAGTACACCGCCATACTTATCACAGGCCAACAGTCGTAGTGTTTCTTGATATCAGGGCTGCCTTCGATTCGTTAGACAGAACTGTTCTCTGGGATTGTCTATTGAAGAAGGGTGTGCCTGAGAAGTTTATTAACATCCAAAAAAACCCTACATGCGAACACCTCAGGCAGAGTGAAGGCATACAACCACCTCTCCATTATTCCATTAAGCAATGGTGTTAGACAGGACTGCCCAATTTCATCATTCCTCTTCAACGTTGCTGTAGACGACGTTCCGGAAGCAGCTTTGATGGATGCGAGTAATGGCAGTGTGGATCTGTTGCCTGGAGAGAGACTTGTTGACCTTGAGTATGCGGATGATATTGTCTTACTGTGTGACAATGCCCAACCCATGTAATCCGCACTTAATCAGTTGGCAATCAATGTCCATAGGTACGGTATGTGCTTTGCACCTGCGAAGTGCAAAGCACTTCTACAAGACTGGCAGGACCCTGATCCTGCATTCACCCTGGACAGTGAGCAGGTAGAAAAAGTCGAGAAGTTCATGCATCTGGGTAGCTGCATAATTGCTGGTGGTGGTGTGAGTAATGAGATCAATTCACGTATAATGAAAGCCAGAGCGGCTTGTGCCAATCTGGGTCACCTTTGACGCCTTTGTGATGTCAGTCTGGCTGTTAAAGGTGGGATCTGTTCAGTCTACATGCACTCTCATGGGAAGGACGGCAGATTGAGTGTGTGTTTCTTACGAGCCTCACTTATACATGGCGTTCTTTAAATCATCTGGTAGTGGTTTCCAGATAAGACTGGTTCATATTAGATAAGCAATGATAATTCGCCTGTATATTATCTTTTTGGTCTACGACTCGTCGAGCATTATATCATGGCTTAGAATGGTGGGTTTTAGGGAGGAGTGATACAGGTCGCATATTATGTTATGCAACGTAATAAATTTTCTTGTTATTCTGTTATAATCTAACGAAAGTAATCCCAGATTGTGAGGTCGATATTTTTTGTAATTTCCAGAGTTGATATTTCTTCCAAATATATACCAGCTATGTTATACATAACGTACGACAGGATGCTTGGAGTAAAAGACTCCAAACAAAATAATAATAAGTTGAAAACTACAGCTTTTAATCTGAAGCACTGGATTATAACACAAACAAGAGAAATCTCAATACTGCAAATAATTTGACAACTGTGGTTTTCCTTTGGAGTCATTTAATTTAAACTTCATAAAATGAAGTCATTTAGCACATGATTTAATAAGACCTAGTCATGCTGATATATTTAACTACTGAAGTCCCAGCAGTAAAAAATGCAACGTAATTCCCAACCTAAAGAGACATGCTTCCAATCTGAGTGGGATTTTTTCATGAAAGTCACAGTTTTTGAACGTCACTCAAACCCATTAATTTCTTCAAATGATCATTTATGTACGATCACAAATTGTAGATCCATATAATATACAGCTTAAAATCATTTAATCCTGGATAATGACAGAATTCTTGGAGAGTTATTTTTGCATTTGTCTGATAGTCATTTAATAATTTAATTGAAAAGCAAAGTGTACATTAAGTATTATTAAATAACAAGAATGCTTCGACGGCACTCATGATTATAAAAAGCAGCAGCTTATGTTTGTTTTTCGCCTTTATAAACCAGTTGTCGTGATTAAAATGTTATATGAAGGGGATTTTCGCAATGCACTTGTTCCTTATTCGGCAAACAGACACCTGACCTATATCCAATAACGTGAGCGTGAAAAGCCATGTGTAGTTTATGGGTCAATAAAGCTATTTCGCCAGCCAACATCGAACCAGTAATGCAGAAAATTTTAAGACAATTAAGTGATAAATGAGCTCAATTACTTTATTTTCAATTAATTTATAGTGTCTTAATATAAACAAGGTGAAATGAAATATTTTCCTTTATATATAGACAAGCATCTAAAGCATGATTTGATTGTTGCACAAGACACTCTGAAGACTGCATTTTGTCAACTAAACAGAACCACGTTATCTATGTTCTCAAAATTGATCACTAAGTTCCTAAGCGGGCCAGTCTCTGAATATCCAGTTTCGAAGTGTTATCTCTCTGAGAGTAACTGTGACGAAATTTTAACGGGATCTTAGTGTTAATGTTCACACTGGAGCTAAGCGAATTTCGTATTCTTTTAGAACGCAACATGCTATCTCCTGACTAATGAAACCAAAAATATGATCATAAGTTACTACAGATTGTTTGAATTATTCTTCGAAGTGGACTCCATGACCAGTCTTGTGTGAAGCCTGATAGAAAATTCATGCAGACTATTATGGTCCATTTCTTGGCAAATACTACTCACTTGTGGTCAGTGTTTCTTTGTTGAAGTGGCTTCAAGTTTTTCTCACGACTTCACCATGTCCTGACCTCACAATTCAAACAATAATAAAGGTGTTTAGCGACTGATGTTAGTGACTGATAAGGACTCCCATTTTGCTGCGGATTCAGTCACTACCTGACTGAATGGTATAAGGTGCAGACATCTGTTCACTATTCCCAGGCATTCTTGTTCTAATGATGAACCAGAAAATTTGGTTAGGACATTGAAAACCGCTATTAATA